GCATATGGTGAAAATACGATAAAACGCAAGATCCGAGAGGCAATCGATATAGTGACCGAGAGAAATATAATGAACAGGAAACTTGAAGAAGGCAGGATAAGCGAAAACGTTGTATATTGCCTAAACAAACTCGAAGAAGACCAAGCAACAGTAAGATCAGCAAAAAGGAGACGATTGGATAGAGGTAAAATCCTTAATCGAGGGTATGAAGGCCAAGATAGTGTGGCCTTTTGTGTGTAGCATCCTTAATTTTAAGAAAAGATATCAAAGTGGACCAGAAAGGAACAATCAGAATCCAAGAGACGCCTTCAGTGAGCCTAATAAAAACAACTAAAACTACAATATTTGTGGGTTGGCACACAAGAGACTAGGGCATATGAAATGATAGACATGGTATTATGGATAGAAACATGAAAGACGCGGCGAAAACTGGAGCTAGTTGGCTGACAGTAGGCCTGATTTACCAGAGACGCAGTCCATGCAGCAAAGGCTTGACCATGAGACTTACTCAGAGGCTATAGCCTCGAATTAGTCACCCAGACGCAGAGGATGGGTAATAACACATCGAGTAGCCCAGATGGAGTGGCAGGGGTCGAGAGAAATACTTTAACCAGGAAGATAGGAGACAAATCCTACGGGGAGACTGATACGACCTAGGGAAAGAGGACTGCGTAACAATATGGAAGACTCTGATCAACATTCCCAGCACAATTTGCTAAAGAATAAACCTATCCTAAATCTTCTCGATATACTTCTAATATCACAATTTATCACCTGCTTATCTAAACATAGTTGAGGTTTATCTTACTCATACTCCCCGCTGATTCCCTCATCCAACCCACTGTGCTAAGCGTGTTGATCCAACTTTTCTGTTTTAGTCATACACTTGGCAATAGGAATAAGAAAGCGAGCGATGCGGCGGGGACCAGAGATAGCAATGATGAGGGAATCTGCAGTGTTAAGTTAGGTTCCCATGCCACTTGAGAATCCAGAATTTGGGAGTCTGCTTAGTGAGGTGGAAATATACATGCTAACCAAGGCTCGACGCATAGTTTAGAACATAGCACCTCGAGTAGTGCAGATACAATGGCGGTGAGAAAATGTAGTCAATGAACCAGGGAGATAAGAGTAGGATCCTACGGGGCAAGAGGGAGACTCTGAGAGGAACTTGAGAAAGAACATTGCGGACGAAAAAGGCAGAATTGGAACCAGTGGGGAGTGTCAGTAGATCTCACTAAATCCACTCAAAAGGGCACACTTCAACTAGATTTAGACAAGCAATTAGAAAACTATGATATTGATATATCCTGTTACAGGGATATAGGATATATGAACACACCAGGACAGAAGAAAAGATTCCACAACTGTTTCGCAAATTATTGGTCAAAGGGTCAACTTCACTTGAATTATAATGTGCTAACACTGACAAGGCTCATTGGGCCGGCGAAACTTCTGGGAATGTACCAGATCCACGATAAGAATTTGGAGATTATCATGGATACTATGGACTCTGGACAAAGTGCGTTCCTTTAAGTCTTCCTGGTAATACGACCAAGTTACGGAAACCAAACAACTTTTATATAAAGAAAAGATATTGCTACCCCACTAAAGGCCACACCTTTATACGTTTTACGAAGCTGATTGAATTGCAAGGAAGACAGTAGGAGAAGCATGAAAGGAAAATGTCTTTGTAAATTTATTGTTTTATATATATTTTATTCCTCCAATTTTGTTTAGGACGTAGGAATATGCATAAATTAGCCGACCCAATCATCAGCTGCTAGATCAAAATAGCAGTAAATGGGATCAGATCCTATCACTAATGGCTCTTGATAAATTTTGCGAAAGAAAGCAGATGCGAATGCCAAGATGTTAAGGCTTCAATTTTAGTTAGTCTCCTTTCGATGTTTAGTGGTCGGTTGACCTTCCTCAAAAAAGATTTAATAAGCAGTATGAGGGCTTCTCTGCTCAAATCCCAAGCCATAACCCAAAGAGAATCTCTTCATAATTTCTAAATCATTTACACACGCGCATTAGGAAAAAATTATAGGTCCAATCACATGAAAATATTTAAGGAGTATTATGAACCATTTTTAGCATCCATGAGAAAAATGTAAACAAAAGATTTACCAAGGTATTGAAGATGGACGCGAATCTGATGGGTCCTTCCGGTGTAAATACGACAAAGTAAAATACTCGTTCCATTCAAAGAGGCTATGGATTTTTTTTCTGCTTCCATATGATCTAAAAAAGATAGAATATAAATTGATGTGAGAAATTCTAACGTTTTCTAGCATCCGTTGGCTGCCAAGCAATTCGAATAAATGCTGTACGAGCTCTTTTTCCGCCTTGTCCCTCGGATAAGACGGCTTGCAGTCCTAATTTAGCATCAATGGTGCCAATAGGTTGATCACAAAAAACAGGAATAATATTAGATCCATTGTCATCATCACCATTAGGAAAGTAGCCTTCAACAAGACAGAGGTAAAACTATAATACAAAATGATATAGAGAAAAACACATATATGAATATATCCATGTATATATCGGCAAATAAAGTCGAAAATTACTTTGATAACCTCCCGACCCTGAATTTTTGTTGCAAGCGCATGAGAAGTATCATAGTTCTTGCCAATAATCATTAGACCGGATGTAAGCCTACAACGACCAATACGAATGAGAGAAAATGGCGATAGAAGACTATTTAATACTTTTAAAAAGTATTAAATAGTCTTATCAGCAAACAAAGGTGGCAGAATATAAGAAATAAAATGTAAATGCTTAGTTGGGATTAAAAAAGTATTAAACGAGAACAGTTATTATACAATTACCAGAAGTATACTTTTAAAGATTATGCATAGCTAAGGTAAAAGAACGGACCGATGAGGCTCAATATACAAGCAAGTGGAGTGGAATGCAGACCTGACTAAATTTCTAAGTACAAAAATAATGCGA